GAAGACCACCGGATCCTGAGGTATGATTGAGATGTTGCGCCTCAAGTCATGCAAACCTATCGATTTGGTGTCCACGCCGTCCACCACCACTTCACCCCTGGGCTCCACCATCCGGAACAGGGCTGATATGATGGACGACTTGCCGGCACCGGTACGTCCGACTATACCTATCTTCTCGCCACTCTTCACACTACAGCACAGATTCTTCAGCACCGGTTTGTTTGAGCCCTCGTATACCAGAAACATATTCCTCAGCTCTATCGCACCCTTCGATGGCCAGTCAGGTGGTGGTCGGTGTGTGTCATCCGAGTCTAACGGCGCCTCCTGTGGTAGTCTCTGGTATTCAATGATACGCTCGACTGAAGTCATCTGACTTTCAAATTCAGTCCACTGTTTGAAATATAATTTCCGACGATAAACGGTGTGACCAGGGTCAATAATCCTTTGAGTAGCTTGAATGTGACACTCAGTTTATTACTGAATCCCATGTGTAGTTCAGTGAACCCCTCGATCCCGGCATACATGGCTGATAAGCCTAGACACGTGCAAATACTGGCCACCCATAGGCATACCATTGAATACCGGCCCGGAATCAATAATACTGTACCCGTAAGCACAAGTATAATATGTGCGCTTGATATTGTTTTCAATTGAAACCTACATTCAATAAAATAAGTTTTAATTATCAAAATACCTTTTCATTGTATAGTATATTGTATTACTTGTATTACGGATAGAATATATTGATGACGAGTCCGGCCGAGTAGATGGCTATGGATATGGATGTCGAGTATATATTGGTTGCACTTTCAGGCGATAGTCTGAGCGGTGAGTACTGTTCAGTAAGTGACACCAACTTCATTAACACCTCATAAATGGCATACAAGGAGACGGTTAACGCAAATAAGAGTGCAATCCATGCGCGCGGGGTATCCCGAGTGTGTTGAATCACTTTTCAGAAAAGTCTATCACTTTATCGTTATTATCATTATTATTGCCATTATTTGTGGTTTGGTTTTCATGATTCATATCCTCGTCCTTCTCTTTTGGCATTTTGTATGGCTTCAGACAATACATTATGAACAGAGATATCGGTACTACGAATGAGGGAATATTAAAGGAAATTATAATAATATTTTGATAATCTCTTACTGATTATAATACAGGCGCCGATCAGGAATATGGGAAACATGAGTCGCGATCGCCTATCAATGACATCGTTTTCATTAATCCTTAACTCGTTGTCAAAAACGATTGTCTCGTTTTTGGACTCATTGTCACTTCGCCCACGAGGTATGGCTTCAATGCTTGTGTGCAGAGTACGGAACCGATACCAAAGGACACCGAATGGATACCATGACTATGAGATACGACTATGAGATACCACTACCAAACAGAATTGCAGTATAAATATATCTGTCATAACCGGTACAATTTTTTAAGTTTTGGAATCCCATGATTAATTAATTAGAAAATTATAAAATAGTATTTGCTTTTATAGTAGAATATTCAGAACTTAATTATTATAAATAAAATGACAATACTTTATAAGATAATTGCTTTTGCAATCGTTTGTTCATTTTATTGATACAATGCAACAATTTGAAATTGTAAATATATTAAAGTTTTATTTACTGAAATTTTATCATATTTTTCAGTTTGAGTTTTATGTTCAAGTACTGTTTCTAATTATTTCTATATGTTGGTATAAATTATTTCAAAAAACATTTTCATGTTAGATCTTATTTGTATATTGACGTATACAGTATTATTTGAAAAATGTCAATTACTTTAACTCATAATAAGTAAATTACTTAATTGCACAGTAACATAAAGCCAATTATGTAATTTGATAAATTTTGTTATATTAATAAATTAATAAAATCAGACAGCATTGAACTTGATAAATGAGGTTTTGAAATTATTTTATTACCAACATTATTAAATGGGGTTTAAGTTTTATTTCAATCATACGTCATATTATTGATTTTTGCACAAAACTGAGTCAATAGTCTCAAAGTATCTAATAGCCTAGTTAATAAAATAACCATGTCATAAATTACCTTGTACTTTAATAAAGATTTATCAGTTGAATAACAATTTATGTTTTTTATCTAAATCGGAATGTCCCTTTTTAAAAGTTACTAAATATGTTTTAACTAGTATAGATGTATTCCATAATTATAGCTTAAAAATAATATCGCAAAACAAAATTTCACTAGGATCGCAATATTCTGTTAAATCCAAGTTTTATCATTTTATAAACAGATATTATAAATGGCATATATTGTATTAACAAAAAAATTCATATGGTATTAGAATAGTTTATTACAAGTTTAATATAACACAAAGTTCAAACAAACACATTATATACAAATTATTCAAATAAAAACATGAATCATTGAAAACCAATAGATTAGACTTAATAATTAGTAATATATTGTGTTTATTATTAAAAATATATAAGAATATCTGTTTATAAAATGATAAAAATTTGATTTAACAGAATATTGCGATTCTAGTGGAATTTTGTTTTGCGATATTATTTTTAAGCTATAATTATAGAATACATCTATACTAATTAAAACATATTTAGTAACTTTTAAAAAGGGACATTCCGATTAAGATTAAAGTGCAAAAATAATAAAACTAATAATTGAACTCTTTTTGATATTTATATATTTTCATAAAAAATTCAAATTAATTGCACTGTAACTAAACCCTTGAGTTTTATATTTAATATAAAATTATTATTTAATTTTATCATTTTCTCTATTTGCGATAATAATCCAACTAAATAAGGTAATATAAAATTAATAAAATGTTATATTTTATATATCACGATATAATAATGTAAAAATAGTGTTTTATTTTTATTTTTAATCAAAAATTTTAAATACAAATATAATACAATGGATATATGTAATTAAATTAATTTATAACAGTAAAATAATTTGTAACAGGAATAATTGTGTTAACGCGTTCACCAAGTAAGTACTGTAAGTTAGTTAAAATGTTAGTTAAAAACTGAACCCCCTCCCACTTTAGTGAGCATATGAAATTTGTGAATGCCGCCTAATATTTTTAATATTATTTAAAGGTGAATATTTTCTAACCATTAAAACAATAGTTAAGAATATAATTATAGAAAGCACTAAAT